CTTGTTGAACGGATTGCTTGACACAGGACTTCCTCAAGGAGATCGGAGTCTGAGGTGTGTGGGAGGGTCAGGGAAGGCTTCCTAGAAAAGGTGATGCTTGAGCTGAGATTTAAGAGGAGATGGCAAGCAGGGGGAGGTAGCGTGGCTGGATAACATGGTGCATTTGGGGCACTGCACATGGTTTGGATGAACTGAAACATGGGGGGCAAAAGTGGGGAAAGGGAGTGAGTGAAGCTGGAGAAGAGGTAAGGGCCAGCATATGACAGACTTAAATGCAGCTAAGGAGATTGGGTTTTATCTTGAGGATAATGAGAAGCCAGTGAAGGATTTTAAGCAGGAATGTGTGGAGGTGGGTTGGGGGTGAGATTTGATACAGAGAGTTGTACATAAGCCTGGTAATCTGACCCAGCTGTTACCCATAATGCCTTTCTGGCCCGGAGCATAGTGGTTTGCTATGGAAGTGCCCTTTGCCTGGCCTGCTTCACACAGTGTTTTGGCTGTACAGTGGGAGCAGACCTGGACAGGAGTCTGGCCCATGTTAAGGCAGAAGGTGCAGCCGCCTCTATTCTGCAGAGTGAGTTGAATAGCAAGAGGCCCTTGGTAAATGCTTGGACCACCTTTACTGGGTTTCCTTACCAGGTCTGCCAGGTCCTAGCTATGGGGACATTAGAGAAGTTGCATAATTTCTCTGAACCTCATCCATAGAATGGAGATGATACCGACCCTTCAGTGCTTTTGTGAGAACTGAATTAGATAATGATAATGAAAATAATAATGACCATTTAGTAAGCATCAACTGTGGCAGGCTGTGTTCCAGGTACATTATTAACTCATTAAAACATATATAGGGGCTTCCCTGGTGGAGCAGTGGTTAAGAATCCACTTGCCAATGCAGGGGACACGGGTTCAAGCCCTGGTCTGGGAAGATCCCACATGCCGCGGAGCAGCTAAGCCCGTGTGCCACAACTACTGAGCCTATGCTCTAGAGCCTGCGAGCCACGACTTCTGAGCCCGCGTGCTGCAACTACTGAAGCCCGAGTGCCTAGAGCCCGTGCTCTGCAACAGCAGAAGCCACCGCAATGAGAAGCCCGCGCCCACCACAACTAGAGAAAGCCCACGTGCAGCAACGAAGGCTTAACGCAGCCAAAAATAAAATAAGTAAATAAGTAAATTTATTTTAAAAAACATATATAAAACATCAAAAATAGTGTTTAGTTCATGGTAGGTACTCAGTAAATATCAGATTCCTCCCCCCACCTCCTGCTGATCATTGCACTTCCTATAGTTTGTCCGTAGCTGATAGATTATTGCCTTAGCACTACCTTCCAAAAGACTTTATTTATTCCCACAAATCGACATAGAGAAAGAAAATAGTGAAGATTTCATTTAAGCCCAGGAAGAAGCCAGTGAGTAATTTCCAACATCATTTCATTAAGGAAGTACTTGGGGCTTAGAAATCAACTGTACTTTAACCAAATTATAGTTTAATACTGTTAGCCTTTGAACTTAATTTTTAGGTTCAGGGTCTTGGGCTTCTACAGAAATCAGACAGAACTGCTGCCTGTACTGACATTGTTCATGTGCTATTTTGATATTTAGTGCCCATCTTCAGAGCAGATAATCAGAATAAACACCTGAATGCAAGCTGTGTTTAAAATGGAATATGTAAGGTTGTCTAAGTGTTGGGATGAGTTATGTGTCCAACCTGAGTCTGACGGGTTTCTGATGGTACTGGGCCATAGCTTTGTCTGCAAATAAATGAAAGCTCCCTCCATCTGCAGCCCCAGTCTTCAGGAACACTGCTCGTCATAGCCTTTCTTTTTCTTTCTTTGTGCAGGTTTCAGGTAACTAGATCCTCTTTGACAATATAAAGCATGGATTAAAACTAGCTCCGTAGGAGTCCCAGGATTATAGGCTCAGGAGAATAAACCTTGGATTGGGTTCAGTTAAGTCTCATTGTAAAGAAATCAGCTATGGGAGAGGCATTTCTGAGCTTGGTTTCTGTTGATTCCTCGTTCCCCAAGATCAATTCTTAGGAGTGTCACAGTTCATTGTGCATACAGGACATGAGTGATTGTTCCTGAGAAGCATAATGAGTTGCTGGCAGCAGTGGTTACACTTGAAAACTGGCTGTGGTTCTGGCCCAGCCTTTATCCCTCATTAACAGAGCAAAACTCAAGGAAAGCAGGAGTCATAGTCACTGAAACACTCACCTGTGTACCTGTGTCCACACTGCCACCCAAGTCAGAGGTTAGCTTACCCCTGGAGACTAGCATAAAACTAGAGAATTTTAGAACATACTCCATGTCTGACCATCTTTCTTTCTTTCCTTAAAACCTCCTCCTCCCTCTGGATATAGATTGCCCAATCTCGAATGCTGCCTTAGAGGGTGCAGGGTAGAGGATAAGAGTAATATGCAACTATTGCCTTACTTCCACCTTTCATTTTCCAGCAACAGCTGCAGGCATATGTGGCCTGGGTGAACGCACAGCTGAAGAAGAGGCCAGCAGTGAAGCCTGTGCAGGACCTGCGACAGGATCTCCGGGATGGGGTGATCCTGGCGTATCTCATCGAGATTGTAGGTCAGTTGGCCCTGGACTCCAATGTTAACGTAAACCAGAACATGGCCTCTTTTATCCTCCATATGCCCTTCAGAGCAGATTGCTCCTTCTTTAAAATAAATGGAAATGGGACTTCCCTGGTGGTCCAGTGGTTAAGAGTCTGTGCTTCCACTGCACGAGCCACAGGTTCGATCCCTGGTTGGGGAACTAAGATCCCGCATACTGCGGCCAAAAATTTTTTTTAAATAAATGAATAAAATAAATGGAAATGGAAGTAGAGCAGCCTTAAGATACTCGCCCAAGGTTACTTTATTTATTTATCGTCAGTAGACACTGTGTTCCAGGTGCCGTGTTAAGCTTTGGGAATATGATGAGCAGTCTAGGCTCTCAAGAGTCTCCCAATCTATTTGGAAAGACTGGAAAGTGAAGCCACTTCCATTAATGTACTTCGTATTCTCATGGGGCAAGTACAGATAGGAGCACATGGGGGACACCCAACCCAGTCTTAGGGGTTGAGGGATGGCTTGCCAGAAGATTTGATGTCTAGACCGAGGCTGGAAAAGGAAGCGGTAGCCAGGCAAAAAGAAGGTGTGTTAGCAGCAAAAGGACCCCTCTATGGTATTCACTACCATGATGCTTCCCAAGAGACCTTGCTTTCTTGAAGCCCTGGAGTTGTTGCCGGTCATTCTTATTAGATGGTATCATAACCTTATTTCCGTAGCATTTGTCTGTAGCTCTGTTATTATTTCTCTCACCAAAAGGTAGTTATTTACTATCTATTTCTCCTGTATAGACTGAGCTCTTTAAGAGCAGGTACAGTATAATATTTTTTCTGTTTCTACAACCCCTAACCAAGTGCCAGACACATAGTAGGTACTCAAACGTTCATTGTCATGTAAGTCAGCTGACCTTGCTTAGAGTCTTTGAGGGATGTGGGTTTGCAAGTGGTATGTAAGAAGTCAGGTTTGCAACAGGCAGCCTGTCCATGAATACCTCATTCAGACAGCTCATGGATTCATTAGAGTATTCACTTATGGATATAATAACCATGGTAATAGTACTAGCAGCTGCTATGTATTAAACACTATCTCATTTAATTTCATTTGATCATCAACCTTTGAGAAACGTAATAGCCCCATTTTCAGGAAACAAACTTGAAAGAGAATTTATAAAAATAAGTAAATTCATTGAGTACTTTATATATTATATATATATGTATATGTATATATCAAGCATTGTGCTAAGCATGCTACTTTGATGGACTTATGATATAGATATGATGTAAGTACTCTTTCACCCATTTTATAGGACTTAGAAAGGTTAAGCAACTTTACAACGTCACATAACTGTAAGTGGCAAAGCAGAGATACAAACCTAGATCTGCTTTAATTCCAAAGCTCATTTTAAAATGAGCTCATTTAATTCTTCATTCATTTGACTAGATTATACTGGAAATATAATCAGTTAGAAAATACAGACAACACAAGAGGATATAAAGTCGAAAGCCATTTTTCCACCTCTGTCCCCCTGCCAGCTACCTGCTCTTTCTGGAGGCAACCAGTGTTAGCAGTTTCTTGCTTTTTTTTCCCCAGAGATATTCTATGCATATACAAGCAATATGAATATGTATTCTTGTTTACCCCAAACCCAGGTTCTTAAATGCTGCATTCTGTTGTGACTTGGCTATATAGAAAAATTCACAGAATTCACTGCCTTATTTCCCATTCTTTCTTTAGCCAGCCTTCACTGGGTTTTTGATCCCACTACTCCCCCGAAACTGCTCTCCTCAAGGCCACAACCTCTGCCTTGTCAAATCCAGTGGCCAGGCCTCAGTTCTCGCTGTATTCAACTTGGCAGAACCTGACACAGTGGATCTCTCCCTCCTCCTCCAAACACCTTCTCCCCTTGGACTCCAGGACCCTGTGGTTTCGAGTTTTCCTCCTTCCTCACTGGCCTCTCCTGTTAGCTTTGCTGGCTTTCTCCTCCTTCCTGACCTCTAAATGTCGAAGCTCTCCTTAGAGGCTTAGACCTTAGTCCTTATATATTCTCTATCCCTAAGTGAGCTCTTCCCAAATTTGTATCTTTAGCCCTAAGCTTTTCATTGAGTTCTAGACATGAATATCAACTTCCTGTTCAACATCTCTGCTTGGATGTGTAAAATGCAGCTCTCGGGAATTCCCTGGCTGTCCAGTGGTTGGGACTCGGTGCTTTCACTGATGAGGGCCTGGGTTCAATCTCTGGTTGGGCCAAAAGAAAAAACTGCAGCTCTCTTCATGTGTCATAATCAGAGTTTTTCCTTCTCCCCGCTGATCCCTCTATCCTCCGAGATTCTTCATTTAACACATCACAGTACCATTCACCCAGCTGTTAAAGCAGAACATTTAGAAGTTGTCTTTTATTATTCTCTTTTCCTCATATATCATATCCAGTCCTTCACATGTGCTGTGTGCTTTATATTAAAAATGTACCCAGGAGCTTTGCTCAGGTGTGGGTCTGGACCCTTGCGTAGTCTCAATGTGCAACTGATCCCAGGTTAAGATGGAGCAGGGAGCCAAGGGCCTGAGCCGGTGGCATGTGGCTCTGCACCAGTTCACAGAGGAGACTGAGAAGTCAATGTCCATCTTGGACGTGTCTTCATCTCCTGGAAGCAGTGGAGTGCACACCTCTTGGAACCATGGCCCATCAGGTTTTCAACATGTCCCTCAGTGCACAGAGCTGGAGAGGATCCCCTTGGTCTCTGCTGAGGCACCCAGGCAGAATGCCAGTGAAATGGGACCACAGTTCAGTATGTTGCTGCCTGACCACGGTGTGAGCCCCCAAGTGACTTTCAGTCCTTCCCAGATGATTTACTCAGGGAATGTCTCCTTCCCAGCCAGGAATGATGATTTTCCAGGGGCCCCAAGCAATGCCCTTAGGAGAGCCCAGTGTTCCAGGGGCCTCGACCTTTGGTGGGAATCTAAGAATGCCCCCCAATGGGCCGCCAGTCTCACCTGCCAGTGGAATCCCAATGATGTCCCACATCAGAATGCGAACAATGCCTTATTCTGGCTTCCCAACAGTAACTTCTAACAGAGACCCTTTAACACGTAAAACATTATTGTATACAACTGTGCCTTCCACTGAGGCCCAGGCAATGCTCCCCTCTTTGGCTCAGATGTTGCAGTCTAGAAACCCCACAACTTAGGGATGCCCCCAGCTGGATCCCATTATTGCTGGCTTTGGAATCCCAGGGCTCTTTTGTGAGCCAGCCAGTCTCCCAGGAAGACCCCTTCCTACCTAAGTAGTCTTTACCTGCTCCACGGAGAGCAGAGCAGTATTCCGGGGCCCAAGAAAGGGCTCCCAGGAGGAGATCCCCAGATTCAAGGCCTTAACCGCTGCAACTGAGAGAACTGGAAAAAGCTAAGGGCTCCCACCTCGTGAGTCACCAACGCAAACACACAGGTGAAAGGCCCTGTAAATGCATGTGGGAAACCTGTACTTGGTCCTTCTTCCGATCTGATGAACTTGGAAGACATACTCGGATACACGCCAAATACGGACCACATAAATGTGACCAGTGCAGCCGACAATTCATGAGATCTGACCATCTCAGGCAGCACCAAAGGGCTCATATGCGGATGCCAACATCCCCAGACCCACTGGCTGACAGTGGACGTATGGCTGGTTCTCCTGCTCCTGGTCTTTAGGTCAATCTACTCTTCCCCTCATTTTGACCTTTCTGCCCAGATCCTGCCTGCCTCTGACCAGCTAGTCTCTTTGGTAGGTGTAGGCTTTGATGAAGACAGAAAGATTATGAGGCAGTGTTGAAGCCCATGTGAGCTCTGGATCTAGTCAGAGCTCAAAAACTGTCTTGGATGTCCTTACATCTCTGGGGCCATCTCTTGGCATCTTTTGTGCCAAGTTCAGCCACATGGGAAGATGGAGCAAAGTAGAGATTGGGAGCTTTATAAAAAGCTCTTTATCTTACATCATTCCCAGCTTGAAACCCTTTAGCGACTCTCCTTTGCCTGCTGCATAAAATCCAACTTCCTTATCTTGGTCTTTGACAGTTTCCAGAGCCAGTTTCCAGAGCCAAGACTATGTTCAAATCCTGAGTTTACCACTTACTAGCTATGTGACCTTGGGAAAGGTCTTTGATCATTATGCCAGGTTCCCTCTTCTGGTAAAAGAAAAACACTGTTGGACTGTCATGAGCACATCTTATGTACAAAACCAGATTCTCTCCGGCACTCACCAGCCTCATACCCAGAGTTTGTCTCCTCCCATCATTTCCAGACTTGGATGGAATGACCCCACAGGACATGGGATCTGGTATCTCAAGTAGCCACTAGCAACCCAGGAATGTGGAAGAGTTAGTGCTCCTGGGATAACATTTGACTAATGGGAGATGGGAGAAATCCAGGTGATAAATTCCCCCTTCTTCCCTCCCTTCCCTGAACTGGTGCAAGATACCATTTCTCCCACTGGGGAGACCTCCCAAGTAGCCAGTGGATACAGCTTTTGTGCCTCTTCGAGGCTTGTCATGAAGCAGACTCAACCCGCTATCACCTGGCATTACCTCCTGTTCTTCCTTGTGTTGAGTTCCTTTTCTTACTCTCAGTGCCCTGTAATCACCCATATAAACATTGGTACTTTAAAAAATTAATTAATTAATTAAAAATTAAAAAAAAATGTACCCAGTATCTGACTTCTCACCTCTCAGCTTCTTCCCAAACCATCATTGTCTCTTGCTTGATTGTTTTCACTTCCCTTTTAACTAATCTCCCTATTTCCTCTTCACATAATCTATGTCCACACAGAGTCAACTTTTAAAAACATAAATCAGATCATGTAACTCCCTTACCTCAAACCCTCTGTTGGCTGTCCATTACACATAGAATAAAATTCAAGGTCTTTGCTCTTTTCCTCTGGTCCCTAAAGCTCCACATGGCCTGGCCTTGCTTACTTCTCCACCTTACCCTAGGACTCGACTCCTTGCTCTCTCCACTCCAGCCCTATGGTCTTGTTGCTCTTCCTCAGATAAGCTGAGCTCATTCCCACCTTGGGGCTGGGATCTGTGCATTCTCAGCCTGGAATGCTTCCTCTGCAAATCTTAACCTCTCTTACTTTATTCAAGCCTCTGCCCAAATGTGTTATCAGAGAGACCGTGATCACTCTTCTTTGTCTTTCCTCATAGTACTTATCACTACCTGAAATTATATTGAAGATTTATTTGTTACCTTGGTCATCTGTCATCCCTACAGATATAACCTCTATGATGGAAGAAAAGACGAAGTCCTGGTCATTGCTGTTTCTCTGGTGCTTAGAATAGGGCCCTGGCACACGGTGAATATTTGTTGAATGAATATTCATGAATATTTGTTGAATGAATATTCATGAATATTTGTTGAATGAAAAAATGTATGCACAGCAACTTCACAGGCCCCTGGGAATAAATTTGAAAATTTGGAGGCCCTGCAAAAGACTTTCATTTTCCTATTCCCCATCCAAATTACAAACACCAAGGCCTAACTCACTTGCATATTTATAGATAATCTTAGTGTTTACATCAAATATTCTCTTTCTCTGTGTCTGGCTACTATGAAACTGTGATAGTACTGCTCCCCATAACTTCAAATATTTTCTTTATCCTAACAGCAGGAGAAAAGCTGAGTGGTGTACAGCTGAGTCCCAGTAACCAGCAGGAGATGAAAAATAATGTGGAGAAAGTGTTACAGTTTGTAGCCTCCAAAAAGATTCGTATGCACCAGACTTCAGCTAAAGGTCAGTGCTTCATCCTGTCCGTGGTGGGTGAGTACACTCATCTTTACCTGGTGATTGTCACCCTCAGAAGAACTATCTGTTATGTAGCTGAGGGTTCCGAGTAGACTCGGGTAGGGTTAGGCCCACGACCTCGTATCATTTTTCCATAAAGAAAGTTATCCTCTTGGGATAGAGCGATTATCAAAATCCAAGTGCTTTGGAAACCTGGGTGAAGATAGAAGTTCTCTATTCATTTTAACTGAGTAAAGTTTTGCTTGAGTGTGTGTAGGAAGATTAACAGAAAAGAAATTATAAAATTGTGAAATGAATTTTAGAATGTCTTGTTTAAGCTATCAAAAATGAAGATAGATTATGTTTTTTGAGTTTTTTGAGCCACATGGCCAGAAGAGGACACCTCTCAATCCAGTTTGAGCCCAGGCTTCAGGGAAGAAATGGTGTAGGTGTCCTCAGAAGGCACAGGCTCCCAGGTCCTCTCACTGCTTCTGTAGAACTGATTATAATCTGGATCTGTTTCAGATTCAGTTTCTGGGCCTGATTGCCTGTGGCTCTAATGAGAATGGGGGGCAGGAGGGAGCCCTCCTTTCGTGTGTTATTAGTGTTCTCTGTGTTGGGCTCATTCATGCGGGGCAGATACTGACCATTGAGAGTGCCTGTAGAAGGTATCAATCAATCCTTTTGGAAGCCTTGCATATTTAAAAGGCTATGAAACTAAAACATAGAATTTTACCTATTTCCTTATGTTAACCAGACCTATTATATTTTTTTCTGCCTGCATTTCTCTTTTTTTTCTAGGACAAAATTTAGAATGCCATAATATCTCAGATCTGGTCCCCATGAGGAGTGGGCTTGGGGATCTGGCCCATTAAAGTTGGCTATTTTGAGGGAACACTGCCGTTCAGGACATCATTGTCATTTACCTGGAGAAGTGCAACAGCTTCCTAATTAGTCCCACTGCATCCATTTCTGTCCCCCTCCCCTCTGCTCTCCACACTGCAGCCAGAATGATCTTTCTAAGAGTGTATATGCTCATGCCATTCCTCTGCATCTGAGGGCCCTTAGGAGAAAATCCAGAGTCCTTCCTCTGGCTCACCATGCCCTTTCTGACCTCACCTCCTGTTCATCCTCCTCCATCTTTCACCCTCTCCCCCTGAACTCTGAGCTCTGGCTATGCTGAGCTGCTTTCTGTTCCTCTTCCACAGCGTGTGCCATAGAAATATAACGTGAGTCTCATACATGACTTGAATGTGTCTAATAGCCATGGTTAAAAAAAAAAGAAAACGAAATGGTTGAAAATAATTTTAATAATATATTTTACTTAACCCAACATATCCAAAATATTATCAGCTCAACATATGATCAATGTAAAAAACTATTACTGAGACATTTTACATTCTATTTTTTGTACTAAGTCTCATGAGATTTTTCATTCTGTTTCTGTGTGTGTGCTAGGATAGTACTAGCACGTTTCAGTTCAGACTACAGCTACCTTTTAAGTGCTCAATAGCCACATGTGGCTAGTGGCTCCCATACTGGAGGGCGCAGTTCGGGTGTGTCGTGCTGTCTCACCTCTAGACCTTCATGCCTGCTCTTCCCTCTTCTTGGAATACTCTTTTCCTTCCCTTCCCTCATCTGATAAACCATTATTGGTCAGTCACGTCTCAGTTTAGAACTCACTTCCTCAGGGACTCCCTCCCAGAGCCCTCTAGACCAGACAAGATGCTTCTTCTCTGAGCTCCCAGAGAATCCTGTACTTCTCCTCTCATACGTTATTGTACGTTATTGTAATTGCTTTCAAATACTCTGTCTCCCTGTTGAACACAGAGAGCTTGATTGCCTTGCTTACCTGCTCACTAGCAAATACGTAGTAACTGAATGAGTCCTCAGCTCTCTGCCTCTCTCTTAGGACCTCTCGGTCTGTTCCAATCCTCAGATATCGTGGAAGGCAACCTGAAGTCTATCATGAGGCTGGTCCTGGCCTTGGCAGCTCATTTCAAACCGGGCTCCAGCAGGACAGTGAACCAAGGACAGGACGCCAGAGCCCCTCTGCAGAGTCACCAGCCACACTGTGCCACTGCTGTGGCCCAGGGAGCAGCTGCCGCCCTAGCTGATGTGTGTCACGACATGTCACGGTCAGGGCGGGATATCTTTCGATACAGACAGAGGTAAGGATGGAAATCTGGGGATGGGAACTCAACCCACTCTGATATTTCTTCCCTTAAATGATATAGTGCAGTAAAGGGAAATACCACGTAAACAGCCCACATTACAGAAAAGAGCATGGAGTGGAGGTTGGAGAGGGTGCTCCAAAAGAGAAAAAAGGCCCTTTCTTTTAGAGATGTTTATTTTGCCCTTAGTAGAAAGTAAAGGAATCGTATATGTAATTTTTTGCTTTGGTGTGCAGAGTTTTGTTTTATTTTATTTTTTTAAATATTCATGTATTTATTTATTTGGCTGCATCTGGTCTTAGTTGCGGCATGCGGGATCTTTTAGTTGTGGCACGCGGACTCTTGGTCGCAGCCCGCAGGCTTCTCTCTAGTTGTGGCATGCAGGCTCTAGAGTGCATGGACTTAGTTGCCTCGCGGCATGTGTGATCTTAGTTCCCTGACCAGGGATCGAACCCATGTCCTCTGCCTTGGAAGGCGGATTCTTAACCACTGGACCACCAGGGAAGTCCCCAGAGTTTCAAATATATGCCTTTGGCACAGTGTGTTTTCTGCACTGGGAGATATATGTGGCAGCAACATCCTGATTCATCCCTGAGTCTCCCCCTGCTGTGTATCCTAAAGGGCGGGCTGCCCTAAAGAGTCATAGCAGGAAACCCTTTGTGGGTTGTGCGTCTGCTGAGAGGGAACACGACTCTGAGGTGTTGCAGAGATTGGTGAAATTACTGTTTTTTTGTATCCACCTTTCTTACTAGGTTTCAAGTGTCCTTAAGGCAGGGGCTTTGCCTTATTCATCGTTTTTTCCCATAGTGCTCCCAAAGTGGTGTCTATCAGTACTTGTTGGGTTGACCTTCTCCTTTGCTGGTGCCCTCTGCCTTTAGGAACAGCAGCGTGGATGAGGAGATTGGGAATCCATGCTGGAGCGTGCGAGCCCTGGTGCAGCAGTATGAAGGGCAGCAAAGGTCCCCATCCGAGTCCAGCTGCTCCAGGTAACTGTGGCCTCAGATTCTTCACCACTACAGTCCTCCCTAAGAGCTGAACTGTGGGGATTCTCAGGGTTGTCAGCTTCAGGTAGTAATGCAACAGGCAATAAGGCACTGAAGCCCTTTCTCTTTCCCTCAGTTTATGTTTGGCTTTAAAGGGGTAGCCCTCAGCACGGTCTGTGGTTTTGTGCTGACAGGAGGGTAGGCTGGGATGCTTGTGAATTTCCTACATACCAGTGCCAGTGCTTCGCTGTGTCCACGTGGGGGCATGACTGGGACCTGCTAGGGCCCAGCCCCATGGTTCTGATATTTGCATATCAGCTGCCAAGTGTTTGTGAGAGCCAGTTCCATTGCACTGCCTTTGTGCCTGAGTCTGACTCTTAAGTTATGGCCTGAGAAGGCTGTATAAAGCTCATAGCAAGAGAAAATGAGCAGAGTTGTCTTAGAGCCTTTAGAATGTTCCCACCTTTCATTTACAGGGCTGGGAATTGTGGCCCATTAGTACATTTGAGTGGGCTAACAATGTGTGTGACTCTAGCTGAAAAATGTTGTCTATATCCCTTAGAGCCAAATGCAGAGACCAAAACAGGACACAGTGCTCTAATAAAAGCCTGATCAATGCCAAGTATAGTGGCAGAAAAAGATTATTTTCCTGGCTCATGTAAATCATGCTCCTATAAACACATCCCCAGGTCATGTTAGCTTATTTACTAACTTCATTTCATTGCTGAATCATATTTAATTTATGCTCTTATAACCTTTTCTCTCTTACCTCAACCCAGGATTAGTCTGTTCTAGTTAAGCCTAATTGTTCTTTGTCTAATATGTATGTATTTTATGTGTTTGTTTCCTTCCTCCTATTTCTTTTCCTAATAAAATTCCATCTTAGTTTGATGGACCATTTTCTAACTTGCTGAGGTCGCATGGAATTCTTTCCATCATTTTAATATACTGGTAACCTTGCTCGACTTTAATTTTCACATTTAATAGTTGTGTTTTTTTATTTTTAAAATTCACATGACATTAAATTAGCCATTATCATTTTACAGTGTACAATTCAGTGGTACGTAGTACCTTCATTAATATTGTGCAACCATCACTTCTATCCAGTCCAAAGAGATTTTCATCACCCCAAAAGGAAACCTTGTACCCATTAAGCAATAGATGTGGTTTTACAGAGAATCTAAACCATTCCTTCCTTGCTTGCTGCTTGGACTATCACTTGGTACAGAATCAAAGGATATTTCATTGTATAATGAGATCTGTTGCTTCCTGCATGGCTTCAGGCCTTTTACTTTTCTGTGCCTGATAGTGCTTGCCAGAGTTCGAGAAAAAAAGAGTCTGGATTTTTTCCTGAGAGCACCTGCTTTCCTCCTGTCTGGCAGAACTCAGACTGGGAGCAGGGGTATGAGACCGTGTGAATTAGGGGCCATTGGAAATCAGGCTCCAGTGGGTCGACAGTGACAGTTTTCTAGGCGAGGGGTCAGAGAATAGTTTGCTTTCCTCTTTCTCTCCTTCCTGATTTGGTCGTTTTCTTCTAAGCCAACCTCTCACTCACCTCTTTGGGATGCTCAGGCAGCACGCTGGAACCCAGAAGGCTCTGGCACATTCTGCCCCCTCCCCCCCCCTCCGCCACCCCCCCACTCAGGGGGAGTCCACCTAATGTCTAAGTGATCCATGAAGGCCAGGAGGTCCCTGGTATGTGATTCAGAACGGGGAGTGGTTCAGAAGGTAGGAAAGACAGGCTCTTATGTCCCATCCCCTCCCCCTGCTCCTTGAGAGACATCCTGGCAAAGCCCTGCCCGACTGCCCGCCTGTTGCTTCGTAGACCTGTAGACCTCGGGCCAGCCTCTCACCATATCCAAGCAAAACGATCCTTAGCTGGGAAAAAAGAACACATGAAACGCCCGAGGGGGGGGTGCGGGAGACAGACGTTCGGCGGGTTTCCGGGGGAGCCCCCTCCCACAAGGAGCCGCGTTAGACCCACCCCGACCTCCGTGCCCACGAAGGCAGGGTTCAGAGAGGAGAAGGCACCGCTATCAGTTCTGGGCTTCTCCAGACCGGGACCACAGACCCCTCCCTCTGCCGACCGGCGGCCTCTCCGGTGCCTCGCCAGGGGCTCCCGCTGGGCCCCGCAGCCCCGCCCCGCTCTGCCTCGAGCTCAGTCGGCAGGCCGAGCGCCAGCCTGGGTCCGAGCCCGGCGCTGCCTGCCCGCAAGTGACAGCCTGGGAAGCGGGGGAGGGCGTTGGGAGGGTGGGACCGGGGAGGCGGTGCGGAGCTGGGATCGCCGCCTGCCGCCCGACCGGGACTCGACCGCGCAGCCGGAGCTGCGGGCAGCCTTTACTCCGGTGGGTCGGAGATGGGTTGAAATGCCTGCGTCCGGGGGCACGCCCGGGGCCGCGCGGCCGCGGAGACCACGATGCTGCTGCCGGGGACCCGCAGCCTGCGAGGGGAGGCGGCTTCCGCCGAGGCTGGGCTGCTGCAGTGTCTGAGCTGCCGGGACAGCGCGCCTCAGAACCGGGAGCATCCCCGTCCCTGGGGCCGAGACGCCTGCTTCTCTGTCCTCCCTCCTCCCTCTCGGGACCGGGGCGAGCGGCTCTGGTAGTTGGCCTGCCCGTGGAGTCGTTCTTCGGGCCTCAGCGCGGGGAGACATGCCCGAATTGGGGAGCGCTGTGACTTTCAGCCTCCCACTTCACCCCGGGAAGCCGACTTGCTGAAGCCGGAGCCACGAGGGGGACCATGGGAGGGACGCAAGTCAAATGGTGAGGTGAAGCCACTTTGGCTTTGGAGGTGGGGGGCATGGGTGGCAGCAGGGCCAGGACTGGAGGATGCTGTTAGCCAGAGACAGGCGGGGATCGGTGGGGGCGCTATATTGGGGAGAACAGGCTGCTGGCCTGGGATTATCACTGTAAAATACAGTGGATTTAGGAAGCTGCAACCAGCGTAGGGGAAGGAGTGGACCTTGACCCTGTCTGGTCTCTACAGAAGGAGGCACTTCAGGACGGAACAGAACTCATATTGCCCAGCACCCGTTTGTTTTTTTTTTTAAAATTGATTTGACTCTAATTTGAAGGTAGCTTTTCTGGGAGATTGTTTGTCTGATAAGATTGGAGAGATGTTAGACCTGTGGGAATTAATATTGTAATCACTTGTTCCTTGACAGGATTATGATGGCAAGTAGGAAATTACTTGTTTATAAAATAGGGTTTTAAAGCTAATCAGGGAGAGCCTAAATCATATAATTAATTAGCATTAAAATACTTTTGTCTGACTTGAGGCAGAGGATTTAGTGTACCATCCTCATCCGTGAGGTTCGTCTTGGGGAGGCGGCAAGATGCCTGCTCTGACATGTGCCTCAGGATTTTTCTTCCTCAGATCCTTTACCTTTTGACTTGGCCAGTTAGTTTCATGGTTTTACCTCTCCGTGGCCTCACACACTGGCAGCCCCAATTCAAGAAAGAGAAATGTTGTTTTCCTTTGGCTGCTCTGCCACTCCCCCAGTGGGGTTGGATATGCAGACATCCGCCTCTTTCTGCCCTTATATGGGAGACAGCTCACTTAGGGGGGAGCCAGTGGAGCTGAGCATGCGTCTCTGCTTTTAGGAAAGCATTTTTCCGCCTGCATCCTAGGTTCACACCACCCCACCCCCGCCCCCCTTCATCTCACACATACCCACATTTAGTGGTCCAGCTAAATGCAGGCAAGGGAACATGTCAGCCATAACACCTTGTCAGCTGAGAAAGTGTTGTCTTATCATTTCTCAAAGAGGAGCAGCTGGTGCAGACCTCTTTCTGCACTTGGACCCCCATTTCTATAAGAAGGCGGATGCTGAGGCCTGAAGTGTCATAAATCTGTTCTTCTTATGAATGACATAGTACCCTTAGACTAATGCTTTTCCAGCAGCTAATGCATGTTGGCCTGGAAGTCAGATTGCCTAAGTGGTGAAAGATGGATAAGAGAGTTCTGTAAAGCAATTACCTTTTCTAAATACCACTTCTTGCCTCTCTCCACCCATCTTGCCTGTTTGGGTTGTAGATCTATAGATGTGATTAAGTGACTTTTTTTAATTCGAAGAAGCAAAAAACTAATTTTTTTTCTGTGGTTCTAATAAGGATGAGGGTGTGTTACTGGTTGAGGTCATTCCCACCAAAGCCCAAAACTCTGGACAACGAGGAGGTTGAGACACTAGTCCTCAGGCTGCTTCAGAGATTTTTGAAATCTCTTGCTAACTCCACTGTGCTTGGCTCTTGTTTTTAGTGGTTTCTAGGAAGATGAAATGTTAACTCCTGATCGTGGCTGGGAGGATTAGCCTGGGAGACTTCAGGGGCACATTAAGTGGGTCAATGAATCCAAGACACTTTCACTGTTGTCTGGGTGATAGATTTGGAAAGAATTCCTGAGAGGGGGCTGGGTCTGCAGACCCCACAACCCCTGAGATTGTTTCAGTGCTGATGTTCTCAAGGTGTGGTGCAAAGAAAGATGGCTCTTCAGATGGAAGCATCAGCCACATTCCCATCGTGTCCTGTAGATTTGCTTCTGGAGATTTAAAATTCTGCTTCCCTAAAAATGCAAACAGTTCCTTCCAAGGCTAGTAGTTATACTAGAATTTAAGAATTGTTGCAAGGTTTCTGATGACAATGTGAAAATAGTGTGGCAGAGATATGAATAACTCCTTGATGGCAGTAAATCAAGTAAACCTTTACCATCCCCTAGCAGGTCTTTTCCCCTTTTGACGTATTATCCTTTTCTGTATCATGTCCTAGCTTTGTTGATATGTCACTGCTCCTTTGCCCAGCCTGGCACTGTCCACACTCCAGCAGTTTCTCCCCTCTGAGGCACCCTCCACACCATCCCCTACTTTGGGATCAGCCTAGAGCTGATCTGCCGTGATTACTCTGCTGGTATTGCATGTGTCAGTGAAAGATCAACGTATTGGAAATAGATTTTCCTTCCAGCTCCCAAAGCTACTAAAACACATACTACATCAAGCCCCTGAACTTGGGCCCAGGG